AAACTTCTGCATGTATTACGGTGTTCTCAATCATCTCGTCATTGGTCCGCACCTTAGCTTGATCTCATATTTTGCTCCTAGCGCCGAGGTCTTCATACATGCAGGTCTTGAGATATAGGATTCATTCTATTACAGGCGTACATGCTAGTAGCTTTATAACCAATATATATATATATATATATATATATCATAACGGCGCCAAATCATATTTTTGTTCATAACACCCTTGCGTTCAAAATAATTCTCTTGATAACGCAAAATGCAGGGGCTGTGAGTCAGAATGGTATAATGTTACACATAAAAAACTGTAAACCTGATCGTATTGCAAAAGGTATTATTCTGAGGCCAAAGAACTTATGACATAGACAGTGGAGTAAAAAACATATTCAATGTTTTAAATTTGCCGATGATGAGTATAGTTCAGACTCTAAGTTCTGTAATCATTTTATCCTGTGTCATTCTAGAACCGTAAACCTGATTGTATTGCAAAAGGTGTCATAACATACATTTTCTAATAATGTAGAACAAAACTAAACCTTTAATATATTTCGGGATTAATTGATACAGTTTGGTACTAATCATTTAGGTGTTCTAAGAGAATTCTATTATATACCGTCAATTTTTCTAAATTCTACAAAGGGAGTGTAAAGTGGCTTCACACCTGAAAGTTCCGTTTGATCAAATGTTCTCTTAGGCTATGACGTTCTTCCCTAATAGCAAAGATTTGTAATCCTCAGATTATCCTCTAGTAGAGTGTTGCCCTTCACTTAACATTGCTGCTCTTATCAATGATGTTTCTCAATATGCGAATTTCTCCAACAAGTCATACCAAAGTTAATCTTACGAATGGGATTGAAATGGAAAAATCGAAATTTTGACAATGTATGGAGCTGGTACCATATCACGAACAAACTCAATCCCGTATCAAATACTGCTCTAGATATTTCTGTTTTGAGGACAAGGGTGCAAAGTGCCGTTGGAAAGTCAATCTGCATTGTTATGAGAAGATAGACGGGGTACTTTTGCAATAAATAAAACATCAACAAAACGACAGATACACCAAGAGAGCAAATGTCCCGAACTCTAATAGAAGAAAGTATTTTTGAGTGCATTAACTCAATGCAATCTTTTTAGACTCTGTACCATTTTTGAGGAAATTTATTTTGGTTCATTTTATGTTCTTTAAAAAATCGTCCCAAATAAGCAAGCCAAAACTACAAAGGAACAGT